AGATAAGAACTGTTTCCAAGGATTTTCTAAAACCCATCAGGAATCCTTTCACATCTTTCCAATGCTTCATGCATATCCTGCTTTGCACCTACTCACATGACAAGGTTTATCACTAGACANAAAGTTGATGAAATCATGTTCTGTCAGACCCAGATAAAATAAGGCCAGGAAAGGCACAAAGTAGGGGGCCCATGCTTGCTTGTCTCAGATAAGAACTGTTTCCAAGGATTTTCTAAAACCCATCAGGAATCCTTTCACATCTTCCCAATGCTTCATGCATATCCTGCTTTGCACCTACTCACATGACAAGGTTTATCACTAGACATTCTTTAGAACTGCAGTGATTCAGATAAGATGCTCCAAGAAGAGACTGCCCAGTAGTGGACTCTCAACCAACAAACTGACAACAAATATGAATTTGAGCCTCCAAAACCAATGAAACCTGTTTCCAAGCAGCTTACGTGAACTTCTCCCTTTTGGCCATAAAAGCTTTCTCCTATACTTCCCTCACCAAATGCATTCATGGCAGGCCATGGTGTGTATTATGGATTGTAATGCTCTTTTCTATTCCCAAGTAAATTTAACATATTTGGAAGTATTTTTCTCTAGTGTTTTTTCTTTACGTCAACACTAATATCCTCACTCTAAGGTCTAGTGCTTTTTGAGGCCCTAGGATAAACAGAAAGCCTATGCACTAGTCTCCACGCTTTTTATGGCCCTGAAATTATCCTTCTAAGTATCCATAGGTGACAAGTGCCTCCCTTTTTTTGTAACTATTTGTGCAGCAGGGAGGGCTCACATTTCTCTCCTGTCCCTCTACCACCAGTAGAGCTTTGGGCCTGGCCTCGGACTGTACACCAGGAATCTTTTCTTTTCCTTATACTTGCAGTTGAACACAGTGCTGTTCTTTCCTCCTGGAGTGTGGCCAAGCTGAAGCTTCTCAGAAAGCCTCTGGCTCTCCCTGTTGGCTGAGCCCCAGTGCTGCTCTCTTTTGCTTCAGTAGTTGAATTAGAGTTGAGTCAGCTCTAGGAGTCCTTCTCAGGACAAGAAAGGCCTGGTGAATTTGAAATAGAAGGTCTACCATAGGAGTCTAAAAAATAGAATGTTATCTCAAGGAAAAAAGCAATATATGTCAGGAACTAAATGCAGTAAATTATCTGGAGGTCGGGAGGGGAAGGAGAGAGGAGTTAAAATGTACCAAAGACTGATGATGAGGTGACCCTAGGGATCAGGAAGAAAGAGAGCTGTGACCAGTGAGTCAGGAAGGGATGTCTTCAGACAATATTGAAGTAGAAAGAGCAGAGGCTCTTGAACTAGGGAGATATATATCTCCCTTAATTCAAGGTAATTAATCTCAAGGAGGTAATATAATATATATGTGTGTGTGTGTTTATATATATATATATATATATATATATAATATATTACCTCTTCAAGACTCAGCATTTTCATAATTTAATATCTAATTCATAGAATTTTTAAAAGATAGTGAGGTAAAGAAAGAAAAACACCAAAAACATGGTAGGCATGTGTTAAAGGTTCCATTTCTCACTGTCGTCTCTTCCTATTAGATTGAAGCAAAAACTGTGTCTCATACACCCTTGTATCTCTAGCACTTACATTAACATAGCTTAATTGTTTTTGTAGTGCATGAAGAAGTCATTTTGGGTACAGAATCAGCAGAAGGAGGTTCATGCGGGAGTAGCGAGTGGTGCATCATGAAAAAGAAGATAGACTATTATTCTATTTTGCTTGCAAAAGTAGATAGAATAACAAAGACTGATATATAATTTCTGATAGGCTCAGTATTGTGCTGAAGGATTTACGCATATTATCTCAGTTAATCTTGATGGCAACCCTAGGACTCAGGCACTATCGTCATCCCCATTTTACAGATGAGGACCATGAAGCATCAGGAATCAAGCAACTTGCCTAAGACTATACAGTTATAAGTGGCAGAGCTGGGATTTGACCACAAACTTCATACCTGGGCTTCTGATCACTACAACTTAAGGCTTCTGGCTGAGATGGTGATATGTTTATCCAAGACCACAAGGTTAAAACATTTTAGGAAAAGTAATGAGCACATAACTTACTGATCTCCCCATGAGAAAATAAATGATTAACAAATGTTGATAACTTGAGTAATCATCACATTGAAGGTTTTTTTTTTTTTTAAATAGAGTCTTGGACATGTTAAGACACACTGCTATTTTTGTGTAGTCGATGAGCTAAGTATTGAATACTAGAAGCTTTACTTCTTTGAAAAAGCTCTTAAAAATTCATTCAGATGTGAAGGTCTCTGGAACAAAACATTTCCAAAATATCTAGAAATTTTGTGTGCTGTAAATTATATTAGTAATAAAAGGTTTAGCAAATAAATTAAAAAATAAATGAAAAGTATTTTTAAATGTATATCCTAAAACAGTTATACAAATCTTGCTAAGAAAATAAGACATATGCATATTAATGTTCTTGCTTCAGACACTAATCATAGCATTATAAAACTATATCTGTCATTCTCTTAATTCAGTGGAAGAGCCATTTCGCAGGGCTATAAAATTAATCATAAAATGTCCTGTTGATAAAATTCACAATAAGTACTCAATGTGGAAAAATAATGATTTTAATATTTTATTGGATGTTTTTGCTTTTTTTATTCATTTGCGTATTTTACATACAAATTCAAGGGATTTTAAAGAAGCATATTATAAAAAGGGCAGCAATCCGGTATTTACTGACTCTAGCATTGGGATAATTGCTTTATAGTTTATATACTTCCTTCCTGTAACAAACCTTTTATCATCATTTTACAAATGGGAGGATTAAGGCTAAGGAACTTTCTTTAATTCAGAAATTCGTGGTGGGTGTGGCATGGTTCTTTTGTTTGACTCTTTCAAAAGCTGATTCTCTTTGTACTATACATGTTGCCTTTCATTTGTGTAATGCATCTAATGTTCTAAATTCATTAATACAAAAGATCTGGATCTTATACTCTATTATCTCTACAGATAAATGGAAAATAATAGATGATGAAAATGCAATACATTGAATTCTATAATATGTTCAAAGTTATAATGCCAACCAGCTATAAGGTGAGGATTTAAAACTACATCTTTGCCTTCCTGTGTTTTTTCCATCAGAAGACATTGTTTTTCCATAAAGCTACGTTATATAACCTACTCTTGCATATAATTTGCCACCGATTGAATTATTTCCTATTTCCCAGTGTATCTCTTTCTGGATATTAAAAAAGGCCTTCGGCATGTGAATTATTCTAGTTTTTCAACATCACCTTTATAATTGTTATAATGCTGGTGATTCACTGTTTTTATACTATCTGACAAAATTTGCCTTGAAGATTACAAGGTAATTTTTTCTTCCTGGCAGTTATTATATTCTAAGGCATTTGGATTTTACTTTATAGGCAGTGGGTCATCTCTACAAAGATACGGGCAGGCCACAATTGGACCTGACTTGTGTTTTAGAAATGACTGAGATAAAAGTGTGGAAGACAGCTGGAGGAAAAAGATCCTGCAGACCATGACACTAGTCTAGAAGGCTTTGTCAACTCTATAGGAAAGAGATGAGATAGTAACAATGGTGGAATGATGGAGAAAGATTTCAGAAATATTCAAGAGGTGATGCCATAAGAAAAACTAGGGGCAAAATAATTCTGTGTTAGGGAAAACAGGAAGGAAATGATAAATTGAATTTGGGACATTCAGGGGAGCTTTACCAGCTAAATGTTGATTAGAAGGTTTGATTAGAGACCAGATGATGGGGCCTTAGTATTTCTTCTCCAAGGTGTTTGAATTCTGCTGTCATAAATGTTTTGACCCAAAGGGACAAAATTGGCTATGACAAACTAGGACCTAGGTATAGGGAAATCACCAACATGGGGAGAAAAATTAAAAGTTTTTCTAATTGTAGTTAAGCATGTCATTTTCACATATAAAGATCGGTTTTTAAACTATCCCCTACTGAATAAAAGCCACTTTTCCTAAAGAAAAAGAGCATGAGCTATGAAGTCACACAGTCCTTATTTTTTCTGCTGTCTCTATCGGGTAATGAATTAACTGTTCCTAGGTATCCTCATCTGTAAATTGAACTGATAATATTATCAATCTCATAAAAGATTTAATGACATAATTTATATAAAGCAGTAGCAGTCTTAGCATATAATATGTGCACTCAAAACATTAGCCACAATTATTAATTAATATTATTTCTCAGAGGCAAAAATATATTTTAGCTATAGATAGTTTTTAAATGCATGGCCTTTATATACATAATATTTATAATGTATAGATTTGTTGAAAACTATAGTTCTATCTTAATAAATTATAAATATATTATTTGCATCAAATATTAGTGAATGAAATCAATGATTATAAGGTATATTGTTAAATGACATGTAGTATTTTATACTCTCAAAAATTAATGCTGTATCTATCTTTAAAATGAGTCTTTGATATTCTTTTTAAAATTGGAGAACCAAGAATATCATGTTTTTAAAAACTCTTTACAAATTAATAAAACATTAAAAGGAGAATAATGAAAGAATGTCAAATAATTATAAAAAGATAGTTTATTAATACAAAAGACATAAAGCAAATAATACATATAGCCATTTTAGCTAGACAAATGTAGATATAAACTTTCAAATTGGATTATAGGTTTCATCAAATTTGGAGGAAACATAAAAATATAGTACTTCTGTACTTTAGTAAAACTAAGTGAAAATGGAACAAGTAGAAAATATAGCTTTCAAAAAACTGAAATGATAATTTTGACTTAGGTATCCACACAGGAGCAGGGGACATTCTCAAAGGGTACTCTTTTTTGTTTTTCGGTAAGCAAATGAAAACCAAAACTTTTTTTTTGCCCTGTTATTTGTATTAATAAAAACCCAAAGTCTGTACTCAAATACTTATTAACATATTCCCATACATGTACAATTTCTTGTCAAAACATCCTTCTTCTCCAGCTACAAAAACTATTTGTATTAATAAAAACCCAAAGTCTGTACTCAAATACTTATTAACATATTCCCATACATATACAATTTCTTGTCAAAACATCCTTCTTCTCCAGCTACAAAAAATTAAAAGGAAAAAAGTTTCACTTTCCTGAAATCATTAATGTTTCTGAGACCACAGTTTTATCTTTCCTCTTAGTACAGCTCTGGAAAAGCAGTTTGAATGCAAAGCTCCTTCACAAAATATCTGCCTTCTAAAAGATGTTAATTTAATATACAAGAGAAGAAAAGCCTCTGGGGAAAGAGGATAAAGGAGTTAGAATTTCTAACTCCTCCACTGAAAAACGGGATATCAGAAAACCATTTAGTTTCCTTTACATTGCTGATTAAAGCTTTCATTTTAACCTTCATTATAAATGGAGGGCATTAATCCCTAAGCTGTTTTTAAACAATTAATATTAACCTTCTTCAATCTTATCCCTGATTACCCTGAGGAGCAATATTTGAGCTCTATTTATTCAGTTTAATAGTTTAGTATTTCCTTCTAAATAGAACCATATAAGCATGTCTCTATGTGAGATATAAACATCATGCTCATCTATATACATAATGCTATGTCATAGAAAAATCACAGTTATAAAATAACACAGTCCTTAACAATGTGATTTTTGAAGTAACTGATAGAAAGAATAAATGTATGAACCGTTTTAGAAAACAAATTACTGTACTTCCTAGAACAATCAAAGCAGCATGTGTAATATCTCATTCTGCTGAAATATCTCATAAAATCATAAGTAGTTGATGCACAGTTCCTGTCACTAATGTTAGGCAGTTAAGAATGGCAAATCAATGTTCCTTTGGGCCATTTTTAGAAAATAGTGGACACTTAAGTCATTTACATGGCTGTACAGGTAAAGTTAAAAAAACATACATAACTACACATACTGACTTTTGGAGTATACACTCGGTGACTTCTTTTCCATGTGATAACTTTTTTGTGTTGTGCGATGGGAAGGTATCGAGTATCTGTAGCTACTGCTCTTTTCATTGCAACAGAAAACACAAGAGAACAGTGCCCCTCCAGCAATCAGCACCAGCGCCATGGTCCAGCCTATGTAGATGGCTTCTCCGAGCTCACGTTTCTGGGCGACATTCACTATTGGGTTGTAGAAATCTCTTATGATGGAATTGGCAACCCAGCTCACAGGGATGAGCACCACGATGCCTGTGATAATGAAGATGATTCCAGCCGTTAGCAGGATGTAACTCTTTGCCTTCTCATCATCTCCAGTGATCCTGGTGCACTTCATGCCAAGGACGGCCGTCATAAAAGCCAAGAATGACAGCACAGAAGCAGCACACATCAGTCCTCGGGATGCCTGTAGGTCCGGAGAAAGAGCCAGCAGGGAATCATAGATTTTGCACTGCATTCTGATGTTAGCATGTCTCATGCAACTCATCCACAGTCCTTCCCAGAGATTTTCAAAAACCACAATGTTGCTCTCAATGAAGGCAGACACTCTCCACTGAGGCATGATGGTGACAGCCAGTGTGCCCACCATGCCAATACCGCCAAGTACCAGTCCAGCAATTTGCAAGGCAGACGTTGCCATTATCCTCTGCAATGGGTTTTATCCCACTCCACTCCTGAGCTGGTAGGGCTGCTCTGAAGCCACGTTCTCTGTGCCTCAGGAGAGAACAGTTTTCCTGTAGTAATGAACTCAGAACCCAGTGGTTTTTCAAATAAGAGCTGCTTTGCTGCCTCTAGCTAGATTAAATCCAGTGTTGGCTGGCCAAGGTGCCCCCCCTATTGACTACCACAGGTAAACTTACAAATCAGGCGTGGCAACTTTCTCAGCCAATAAGGGGGGGATGGTAATCCAGGTGTGGCAAAACCGACAAGAGATACTTGGAACGGCTAGAGCTGCACATAAACATTCTTTGTATTTCTCATGTTTCCAAGAAGACAGCAGAATGTTTACATACAGGCATAATTATAAACGTTTGCACAATCATCAAGAAATTAGCTAATCCCTTCCAATGTGAAAGGTGCACCTTGTACACGCAATTCTGAAACTCTGAGTGAGAGCTGCTGTGACCAAGGTGTAAGATAAAATATCTGCCTAAGAAATCTGCAACACCTGTCAAAATGCCAAAGTGAAAGGAGAGGAGGGGATTGATAAATTGCTCATACCTGGAAAACCACATTCTTTGGGACACATGTGATCCGAGTGGTTGATTTAATTTGTCTACAACTTCAAAGCAAGCTCTATTGGGGTGAAATCAGGAAACAGATCAGGCCAAAGGACAAAATGAGGCTGATGTAATTAAATACACTAGGCTGTCTTCCTTCTTGGCACCAAAAATATGGAGTTTTTTATAAATTTGTTTTTTATTTTTTAAGCAAGGAAAACTACCTGTTGCTGTTTTTCGGATAATCTTGATTTATAAGAACAAAAAATTTGGAAACAAAATGTCAGATGATTTTTTTATGTAGCAAGC